GTCACTCCATCCTCATGGAGATCAAAGACCGGGTGACCATTGAGAAGCCGGCTGCTACGAAAGGTTCCGCCAAAAATTGGAACAAAAATAAGTACTATCATCTTCATGAGGATGTTGGCCATGACACCAACGACTGCTATAGTCTCAAGCGACTGTTGGACCGCCTGGATGACAAAGGAGTGCTCAAATCTTACATTCTAAGGTCTAAGGTTACTCTGCAAACTAAACCAGGGTAGTCGTCTTAGAAAAAGTCACAACCTGCTAATTGTTCTGATACAGACAAAGAATAGATCTATACAATTGCTGGAGGCGGCCCTACCATTTGGGGAACCAAGGATTACATCAGGCGGCTAGATGTCAGCTCAGTTGATGAGGGGCAAGCGTTTAAGGACACTTTCCCTAAAGTTTTCATCTTTAAGGGAGGTAGGGGCAATGTTAGGAGGCCGTATGATGACCCCATTGTCATGGAATGAAAAGTGGCCAACCAAAAGGTGGGTCGAATCCTCATAGACACTGGTAGTTCCTGTTACTGTGTATGAAACTCCGGATTTTGAGGCCCATCTCTGGATTCTGTCTTTCAATGAAAGATTTGAATATATCAATCTCATCGATCGGGTAGAATGTGGGTCTCCAAAACCCAATGTCGTAGGTTCAAATCCTACAGAGCGTAGCCTTAACCAATGATGGATCGAGCCAGGCCTGTTGTATATTTAGAGTGTTGATTGTTGCGCTCTCACGCCCATGAAGAGCGCCCGCCCAAGGTAGGCGCGGCCGCGTAGAGAGCTCACCTAAACCGCGCACCCCTCTGGAAATTGACAAATTGGAAGGGTGTGGTTGGCGCGCTTGCGCGTCCTGGTGGAGCGCCCGCGCTGTTGGTCGCGCATAAACCGCGCCCCTCACTTCCTTCTTATGAAATCTCGCAGATGGGCGCGCCTCCCTGTTTTGCAGTTTTTCCTGACGGTTGAGTCTTTTATTAAAAGACAAGTTTTGTGAAAGAAAAATACAGAAGTTTATTCTTGATCTCTCCAAAAAGAATTCTCCACATTTTCTCTCAAATTTCTTGCAAACTTTTGTGAGAAAAACTCTTTCAATTAATCCAATTTTGGTGAATTTGTCATCTTGATTTCGATTCTAGTACTAAGAACGAAATTTGCTGTCAATTGTATCTCAAAGAGGATTTCCGGTTTAACCCAAGTATCGTGTGGGGGGAATAAACCTCTTTAGGAAAGTGTTTACACGCCTTTGACAGTGCATCAAGGTACTAGTCTTACGGGACATCGGTTTTCTAATGTTCATGCTTGGAATTAACGGCTTGGAGGAAAGGCAAGTTTGATCATCTTCATACTAGTGTAATCTTTGTAATTTTCAGTAATTTCTTAGATATATTTAATACTTGATTGTGATACATTGAATTGTATTTGACATTTACAATTATATTGTAATAATATTTTAGGATTTGTTCCCACACATTGTTTTAAGTGTTTTCTTGATTGAAATCACTGTAACTTAACAATCTAAAGAGGTTTAATCTTAGAATTTATCAAGTATGTCTAGTGTGAAGGAATTATTAACAAATATTGTCAAACTCAAGAAGTTCGATGGTGTTGAATTTAGAAGGTGGAAGAAGAAAATGTATTTTCTTCTTACATCTCTAAATGTTGCCTATGTGATAAGTACTCCAAGGCCGGATGAACATGAGAATGAGACCTCGGAGAACGCTCGGGAAAGATTGAAGTGGGACAATGACGATTTCATATGTCGTGGTCACATTTTGAATGGGATGGAGGATGATCTTTTTGATGACTATGAAAATGTAGAATCGGCTAAGGAGCTTTGGGAGTCCTTGGAAAGCAAGTACATGGCGGAAGATGCATCAAGTAAGAAATTTTTAGTTAGGAATTTTAATAATTTTAAATTTGTTGATGGTCGGTCCATAATGGACCAATTTCAGGAATTGCAACGTATTTATGGTAGCTTGGAACAACATGGAATAGCCATGAATGAGTTGTTTGTTGTTTCTAGCATTATTGACAAATTACCCCCTAGTTGGAAAAATGTTAAACATGATTTAAAGCATAAGAAAGAGGACATGACATTGTCCGATTTGGTCACCCATCTTTAAATTGAAGAAGGGATTCGTGCCATGGAAGGAGCTAAGGATGGAAATCCTAGCACATCTACCGTTAATATGGTAGATGAAGGAAGAGCTAGTGCATCTACTAGTGGTAAAAGGAAGAATAATAATTCTTCCAAAGGAAAGTCTAAAAAGCAAGCAAACAATAATAAATTTGCTTGTTGGGAATGCGGTAAGGTTGGACACCGCAAGAAGGACTCGTATTCTTTCAAGAAAAGAATGGAGAAAGCCAAGGAGGGTCGTGCTAATGAAAGCAAGGATTCACCCACCAAAGGTAATCCAATTCATGAGGTTGAATTTAATTCCGGTTTGGATTTAAATGCAACGGATCCGAACATTTTTATGGTGGAGGATGATGACTCATGGTGGATTGATTCGGGGGCTTCAAGGCACATGTGCAAGAGTAAACATTGGTTCAAAACCTTCAAAAGGTTGTTGATGGAGAAGACCTCTACATGGGGAACAATTCTACTATCAAGTTTCTTGGAAGAGGACAAGTTGAGCTTGTGTTTAGTTTGGGGATTGCAATTATTCTTAGGAATGTTTTGTATGCTCCGGAAATTAGTAGGAATCTTGTATCCGGGACTACTCTGAATAGTCTTGGCTATAAGCTTGTATTTGAAGCTAATAGATGCATTATTACTAGGGGTGTAACGTTTATAGGTCGTTGTTATTTAGATAATGGTTTGTTTAAACTCTCATTGAGAGAGATTTGTGTTATGGATGATATGTGCTTGAATGTTGTTAACAATGTTAATCAAGTTGATTTGAATCTGTTTGATTTATGGCATTCAAGGTTAGGACATGTGAATTATAATAAAGTGCTTTTTATGTCCAAACAAGAATTGATACCTTCTTGTGATATTTCTTCTAATAAATGTTCTACTTGCATGTTGAATAAGATCACTAGAACTCCTTTTAAGAGAGTTGAGAGAAGTTCTAATATTTTAGAACTAATCCATAGTGACTTGTGTGATTTTCATAGTACTCCTTCTTTGGGGAACAAAAGATACATGATTACATTTATAGATGATTATTCTAGGTTTTGTTATGTGTATCTTTTGCATTCCAAAGATGAAGCTTTAACAAAGTTTGATATTTATAAAAGGGAAGTAGAACTGCAAGTAGAATCATTAATTAAGAGAATTAGAACTGATAAGGGAGGGGAATACTATGATCCAGCTTATTTCCAATCTTTGGGTATAATTCATGAGACTACAGCGGGTTATGCACCACAATCAAATGGTGTAGCTGAAAGGAAAAACAGAACTCTTGAAGAAATGGTTAATTCCATGTTATCTTACTCTGGTTTGAGTGAAGGGTTCTAGGGTGAAGTAATGTTGACAGCTTGTCACATTCTTAATCAGGTTCCCACTAAGGAAAAACAATCTACTCCTTATGAACTTTAGTACAAAAGAAAGCCAAACTTGAAGTATCTCAAGATTTAAGGTTGTAGGGCAATTGTAAGAGTGTCTGGCAACAAGAAAAGGAAGCTCGGTGAAAGGGGTCTGGATTGCATATTTATAGGTTATGCTGAGCATAGAAAAACCTTTAGGTTCTATGTAATAGAACAAAATGACTATATATCGATTCATTCGGTTATTGAGTCAAGAGATGCAAATTTTGATGAAAATCGATTTTCATCAATGAGTAGACCGAAAGATCTATAGATCGGTGCCAATAATAAGGAGATAGTAGAGTTGAATGATCAACTTGAAACTCATGAAAGTACATTCGATAATGAGAATGTTGAAACTCCTCAAGTGAGGAGAAGTACTAGAGAAAGGAAAATTAGGAATCCTCTAGATGACTTCATAATATATTTAGTTGAAGGGTCTAGGGATGTCCTTAGTTCCACTACTCCATATTGTTTTAATGTGGCCCCAAAGACTTATAGCGAGGCTATATCTTCCCAAGATAGTGCATTTTGGAAGGAAGTTATAAATGATGAGATGGATTCCATTATGGGAAATAATACTTGGGTCATAGAGGATTTACCTCCCGGTTGCAAACCTCTTGGTTGCAGGTAGATTTTCACTAGCAAGTAGACGATGAAGATGTGGAGAAAATGATAAAAGATTCAGCTCTGGCTAGGTATGCTTCACTGGTTAATTAGCATAAAAAGAAATTAGCTATTGTAAGTTACTGCAACTTTATAAAGGATCTCACATCTCGATTTCAAAGACATGAGCTGTTTAACCCTCTAAAAAATGCTCTCTGATTCACCATTTCTCATTCTAAATTGCTTGCAGGCAAATCAGAAGCTCAAGAAGGCCGAAAAGGCTTTGGAAAAGGTGCAAGGATATCTAGAACCGGAAGAGCTCCCTACAGATTTAGAAACGATAACTGATGAGGAGAGATTAATATTCCGTAAAATTGGCTTAAGCATGAAACCTTTCTTGCTTGTGGGTAAGCATGTGAACTTAGCTCTTAGGTATATATATGCATCCTAAAGAACTACTTACAAAAGCTGCTTCTTTTACAGGGAGGTGAGATGTTTTTGATGGTACCATAGAGAACATACATCTGCACTGGAAATTCAGGGAGTTGGTGAAGGTAATTGTGAGGGGCAAAATTTTTGGACAAGTTAAACATCTTGCAATATCGTTGGAGGCAGAGAGTGGTGGTGTGCTTGTATCAATATATAAAACTACTAGAGGCTATGCAATCATTCTATATCGAGGAAAGAACTATCAGCAACCTCTTCGGTTGAGGCCTAGGAATCTACTGATAAGAAGGCAAGCATTAGCTCGGTCAATCGAACTGCAAAGACGTGAGGTGACTCTGGTGATCGATTATTTTTATCATTTTGACATAATGAAAACATTCCTCTTACATTTGTCATACACAGGGACTAAAGCATCATATATCGAGTTTACAGGAACAAATGGAGTTGCTGAAGTCTGAAATAGTATGTATTCTCATTTATACGTTGTATATACAATTATACATATATTTTGTTGCATCTTTGAAAGAGAGTATTAAGGTTGACCCACTTTTGTATAAAATTTTGCAGGAAGATATGAAAAATGGAAAAGAGATTGATGATATGGCGTTTTATAAAAAAATTGGATGATTCTTCTATTCCTTCAGATGATGAGATGGAACAGGTAAGACTAAGAGGGATTTTGTATGCTTGTACAACATTATAGGATAGTTTTGTCACCTATAGTGTGTTTTGGTAAAGGGGGATTTGGAGGGAAGGGAAAGAGAAGTAGATTGAATGATGCAAATTAAATGGACATAAAATGGGGAAGAGTAGAATATTTTCCTTTGCGTTCAATAAATTAAATCCATTTAAAACCTCGAAAAATTTGGAAGGATATAAATGCCCAACTCTCTCTGCCCTCCCTTCAATTCTCTATCCTGTCCTTCCCTTCCTTCAATGGTTGCTAAGAACACTAAACAAACATACCATTAGTGTGGGAGGTAATAGGCATTTAAGCACATTTTTGGGTTGGTAAAGACTAAGAGTTGAGTGCTGACTTTCGGAATGGATGGGATTTTTCCCAAGGGATCCTTAATGTCACTGAGTTCTTGCTGATTAATTATTCAATTTTCTTAATTGTAGGATGAAGATGAAGAGGCCTACTTGCAAACATATGACAGTGGAGATGAAAATGGTGCTTTCATAGATGCCGAGTCGTCTCAAGATGACTTAGATGCATAGAAGTTACCAGAGTAATTATAGGTATCCAGATGTATGAAACATACCAATGTACTCTGTATATAATTTATCTAAGATATATACAAAAATTGACTGAAAGCAGTTCCATTCCTTTGGTATGAAAATCATAATTCATTCATTTATCAGCAACCGTGTGCGTCACAACATCGGGGAATGGGGACGAGTTTTAAAAAAGACTTTCCACGAATAGTTGTTTAAGGGAGGTGATACACATAGAGTTAGTCTATGTGTAGCCCCACATAGACATCCAATGGTATGGCGACACGTTAGCGTTGTAAAAAAAGAAAGAAATAGAGTTGAGCGGGAGAGTTAAGTGGTAAAAAGCTTGTGAGATTCCTGCCTAAGAAGAGAGGAGCGGTAAAGGAGTTGTGGATGAAATTATGGTGTCATTTTGTTAAAAAATATTACTTCTTCGAGCAAGGTATTGTTCTGTAGTTTTAGAAACAATTTCTATGGCAATGGCAAACAAAGTTCAAGAAATTTGTTGAATTGAAACTAAAGTAAGAAGGTTGAAACTTTTTTGGGCAACATTATTGGAGATAAGCTTAAAGCAATTGATCAGGTTTAAATTGTATAATTGAATTTTTTTCTCTTTATTTAACATAGCTATAGCGAGTAAATTAGGAATATGTTATATTTGATGAAAAGGTTTTTACAAAGAAATATAATTGATTTGAAGTTGTAACTATTTCGGGGTTTTTTGATGTGTCCTGCGGGAGAGTTATAATTCCTAGTATGTGCCACTGACGCCTGTACCTGCAAAACCACGAAGACTCCGGTTGGTGGGAGCTCCGCCTCCGACGATCTAGTCAGTAACGTACAGGAGACAATAAGTGCGGAAATAGTAAATACTCCTCGCTAATACAGGAGGATTCTGCAATTAATATTGCTCGGGATTGGTGTTTGTATTTATGAATGCCCCATAAATGAGGTCTGACCCACTATTTATAGTGGGGGGGGGGGGGCAAGTACCCCATCTAGGGTTCAAAGGACACGTGTCAACAGGGGATTGGCACCCTGTTGACCTATGGCTGGCTGCCACATGTCGCAGGGCCATTGGGCCACCTGTCTAGGGTAATTTTTACCCTAAACATTTTCCCCTCTCAGGTGCTGATGTGGCGGTGCCACGCGGCACCTGAGACACACACACTCTCTCTTCTTCTTCTTCTTTTTTTTTTTTTTTTTTTTTTTTTGAATTCGAATTTTAGAAGTTCAAAAGGCAGAAGGTGAAAAGGCACGAGAGTTCACCTTCTGAGGATTGCCTATAAATAGCAAAACTCCTCTCTCATGTTCACATTTACAACCTTGAACAATTTTCAAAGATTTTGAGAGCAGGCGGTATTGAGAGCAGACTTCCCCTGAATTCTACTGAGTGCACATCCGGTATTTTCCGTCTGCGGGTATTGTGAACAACATCGCAAATTTGCAGCTGCTACTTCAGAGAACACATCCGGCTACGAGGACGTCTGAGTCTTTGCAAGCCATTTGAAGTGTTTCCAGCCTGGTCAAGCGGATTTCTCCTCTTCTCAATTAACTTAGGTACCGCCTCTGTTCTCTCTAGCTCTTCCATGTATTTACGTTTGTGCTTCTTTCTTTCTTTTTTCTTTATTAGTTCTATCAGTAGATGGACCCTTTATACCCACACCCGGAATGTAGTTTTGAGACCAACCGGTCCCTCAGCACGGCTGAGTCTTGGGCTGGGGATGCCGCCTCTGGGTTTTGGAATCTTTCTTGTTCATCTCCCATTCCAACCGTCTCCGTGTCTGTGCAGGACACAATGGCCAGAACAAAGAAGATGGCTATGGATCCCAATTATAGAGGTGAAAGCTCAGAAGAGTTGCCGCCTGAGGAGAGGATCCCGAATGAGATAACAAGGGGATCTCCTAGAGGCACCCCAAGTACCCCTAGCGATGGAATTCTAGGGTCCGATAGTGGAGGCGGTGAGGAAGCCGCCTCTGTTTCTGGAGCTGAGGACTAAGAACCCTTAGCAAGAAATGAGAACCCTACTTCAAGTTCCGGCTCTGAGTCCGGCTTTGATGAGGGTGACAGCAAAAGCAGCTATCTCACGACGTCTGTGGATAGCGAGGAGGAGGAGAGGCCTTTATGGAACACCAAAGGTGATCCTATCATGATCTCCGTCTCTGCAAAAGACAGGGCTAGCATGCAGAGGAACCTAGCCGACTTTGTACTCAAGCGGCCCTTAGGAGAAGGGTATAAATTAGTTGTCTCGCCTGAGATGCGGACCATTGCCTGGGAGGACAACTAGCGCAATGCAGACGAATTTTTTGGCTGCTATGAGACGGCTTTTCTAGCGGGGCTCCGCTTCCCCCTTCACAACACAATAAAGGCCATACTCAGGGGTTATGGCCTAGGTGTCTGGCAACTTATCCCCAATTCTTGGGTAAATATTTTGGGGTATATTGCCGCCTGCGAAATGCAGAGCCTGAACCTCGGCTGGGAGGCCTTCGCTCACATGCACTATCTGAGCCGGAGTCCAGGCGGTTGGAGGGCCTGGTACACATTAACGACATATCCCAAGTACCTTATGACGCTTGACAAGTCGTCTAAGTGGTCCGATTGGAAAAACCGCTTCTACTTGGTCAAAGCCCCGATCAATGAAGAAAATCATGAGCTCCGGAGATACAACCGGAAGCCTGAGCTGCTCGGGCAAAAATTCAAAATGCCCACGATACCGGATGGGGACTATGAAGCGATCATAGAGTCCGAATTTTTTGTACTCACCACTTCCACCATCTCAACCGGAGAAGTTATCAGCGTACCCAAGAATCGGGTGCCCAAACATGAGTTCTTAAGGGACGAGGCGTTCTTGTCCGCCTGTGGGCTAAGCACCATGTTCGAAGATAAATGTAGGTTAAAAGCCTCAGCCGACAAGTTTTTGCCAGATGTGTAATTTTGCCTTGCTCATGTTTTTAGAACTTTTCTAACCAGGCGTCTCTTGTCATTTTGCAGCTGAGGCCAAAGGTATGTTGCCAACATACAAGACGCTTGCCAAGAGGGCCTCAGATATCCGCTAGGAGAACGCGGAGAAGAAAGCTGCCCAGGCGGCTAAAAAAGTAAGTTCGCCTAACCTTATTGTGTATTGCTTGTTTTCTCTTTTATTTCAAGCCATTTTAGGTCTATCCGTCTGACCTCTTTTTGCCTCGTTTCATGATGGGAGCAAGGTTCCTTGCTCTCTTTCCAAACAACACCGGCCAAAGCCGGATGGTGAGGAGCCTGCTCCTAAAATTCAAAAGACCTCACACGCCGACCGACTGACTGTCGGCGGCAAATCAGTGAAGAACACTGGGATGGGGCTCGACCTTTCCCATAGGAGGCCGGATGCCCCTCCCTCCCTGCATACGACAGGCTGTACATCCGCCGGAAAAGGCCCACGCGGCCCTCAAGAGACCCAAGGTATGAATGACCCCTTCAATCTCACTCTAATTGGCCTGCCCATGCGGGTCAAGTCTTACTCCCAACTCCAGCCGGAGGACTCGTCATCCAGCCGACACTCTATTGGAGGGGCGTTTGCTCCTTTCTCACCGTCTGTTTCTGGTGCAGATCAATCTCATTGCTGGCCGGACGTGATACAATACGCCCGGGCCATGCTGAAAGCCGTCCCTAGGGACGAGAAGGAAGCGATCCCTGGGATCAACGCCTTCAATGCTGACCGTGTGATGGTCAGCCTGGATGAGGTATTCTTCTACATCCGCCTCTTTTTTACACTGATCTCATACTCATCCGATAGTTTCTAACACCGATTGTGTCTTCCTAGTCTTTGCTGCGCGTAGAGGGGCTGAAGAAGGCCTATGTACGCAAGCAAGAGGAGGTAAGAAGAGCCAAACGGGATGCCAATGCGCCCATAATGTAGCTCAATATTCAATGATTCTGCATGACTTAGAAACTAAATCTATAATCATGCAATAGGCGGACCAGGTCAAGACCCTTCAAAAGGCCCTCAATGAGTCCAAGATTAAGATGGACAATCTTCAGGCGTCGCTCGATAATGCCGAGAAGGAGCTGAATGAGAACAAGGAATCCCTCCAGCGCATGGATAAGGCGGAGAAGGACAACAAACGCCTAAAGAAGGAGAATGACCGTCTGAAGAAGGAGGCTGCCACTTCTCAGAAAAATTTGAGGCAACCCTTCAGGCGGAACAGAGTCGACTCATTGAGGAGAATGAGCAAGACTGCGTGAACCGCATAAGGAAGGCGTGAGCTCGCCTATCGATACGCATATCTTACCTTTCTGGCGCAAAAGGAGGGTCAGCCGGGACTTGAGCCCTATGAGGAGTGGGCAAGGAAGGACATCGAGAAAATGCAGGCTGAGGCGGCTGAAGAAGAGGAGGAGACTGAGGAAAATGCTGAAGTTCCCATCTCCGTGGCCACTACCACTCAGACTCAGCCGGAGCAAACTCAGACGCCTGCTACCCAAAATCCGACTGACAACGTCACAGTTCAAATAGAGTAGCAATTACCTCCCGGCCTGCATGCCGTGTATTTCTTTGTAATTTCACCGGATGGGGATCGGTTAATAGTATAACAATTTTAATTTTTGAGTATTAGTTAAAATATATTTTGCCGACTGTGTCGGCTTTCCCTTGATATGATTCTCAGTATTTATTTTTCCACTTTTCGCGAATTTTTGCAAGTATAATGACGCCTGACTTCCCATATATACCTGGTGGGGCTGCTGATTTTGCCCTTGGATGGCTGGCTGTTAACTTCAAGAGGTTAACAGGAAGGCGTCCATACACGCACCCGGTTAGAAAGGCAAGCGGAGCTTAATTGCTTTATGCGAGCTGATCGTATTACTAAACCGGCTGAGGTGTGCTCGTAAAGCACCCTATTTTGCCATGTTTGTATGCAGCCGGTTATTTGGCCGACTGTAGGTCAATAATTCATTCGATACCAAGGTTTGGACCTTGC